AACAAATAAGCAAAAACAAAAACACCAAGCCCTGGCTTACCAAGACATTTCCGAGTCGCAAATCACCATGAACATATCCCATGCTGTGAACAACGATCAAGGCGTCCAGTATCTGCTGCGCCCATCGAAGGACATGCGCAACGGTCATGGAATTGTCTGCTGGATTGTTTCCCGAATGCTCAACTAAATAAGTCTTAAGGGACTCTCCACACTGCTCTGTCACAAATACTGCTTCCACTCCTCTTGGAACTTCTCTGAAGGTAGTACCGTAAAACTGAACAATGTGTGGATGGCGTAGATTTCTAAAAGCAAACCGGAGGAAATAACGCGACAACTTAAAATGACAGTCGACAAAATGAATACTATACCTCACTATTCCCCGAGAGAATAGTGGAGGATAACATACCGAGACGCCAAAATCAAAGGTGCGGCGCTATGCACAGACCCTGTTCGTATTTACCAACGTAGTTGAATGAAATTGAACAAGCTCCTTTAAAAAATTGCGGTGTAAGAGACGCGTTGTAAGAGACGTCACTATTAATTAAAAGTTATAAGAGCTACCATTGCGTTTTAATTGAGAGTTTTCTTGAAAGACTTTTTGAGTGCATTTTCACGATTTTCTCAAAAATTCAGAATAGAAATAACTCAGTTTTATCTACAATTAAGTAAACACCGACGAGCTAAATTTCGTAGCTTTCGTTGCCTTTTTTGGTACAACTGCCTCACTTGCCTCCAAAACGACGCCTCAGTATATGAAAATGTACATATTGATTCCCTTGCCAAAACAGAAATTTTTGTTTTCACTTATTTGGTTATAATAAAAAAGATTAAGTCGTAGGGGGAAAAAGAGATCACTCAATGCTATTTACTTAGAAATAAACCATTGCAAGAAGGAGGGAAAGAGTAAACTAGCAAATAAATTCGATATAATCATAGCTTTTGACTAATTGTTTGGTTTGATCTATTGACGGAGCGAGCAAATTGAAAAGGTGATATGCCTAAAAAAGCCATAGTGCTAATTAAAACATTATTATTAACGCAAAAGGAAGCATCCACCTCCACAGAAAAAAAACTAACAAAAGAAGGATGCTGAGAAAAAGATCTATTGGAGTCCGATTACAGTGAAAGGACAGTCATTGTCACTAAAAACGCAGTCAACGATACAACAGCATCAGTTTTGAGTTTAATTTTATCCTTGGTTCGAATTTTATTTTGGGCATGGTAATGTTTTGTGGTTAGAGTAAAATAAAATGTACTATTATTCATTCAAAATATTTCCCCAATTCTGATTAGCTAAAAACACACGCATAATTCACCATAACCAGCTACTGATGACCAAATTTGGAAGAATTTTGCGTTTAATGAACCGATGACGCCAAAGGTGCAGCTTTTGTGCAGGTTAATGCATCGTTAACCGAGAAGACCTGGGGACGAGGTTGAGTTGTTTTGGTTGTGAAAACAAACATGGCGGACATTTCACTCGTTTCAATAGTCAGAACTAGGCGAAATAATAGCTAAAGACATGACAAGAACAGCAAGAAGACAACTCGAAGGGCGACATCTGCTATTTGGAGAAGATTTGCGGAGCGGAACAATCCTAAACGTGCACTATCGGAGATGAACTTAACATCGATGGAGGTAAGCATGTTTTAGCTATGTTTTTAAATTAGGAATTATTTTCAATGAACAATAAAACAATTATTGAATTCGGCTTTCGTATCATATGAAGAATTATGAAGATCTCGGAGGGTGTTATCCGCCTCGGCCTTGATCTCCATAATTCTTCATAAGATACTTAGCCTCATTCATTAATTGTTAAATATTTTTTAGTTAGAGGAAAACTAAACTTAAACCAAGTATCGGTACAACCTAAACGTTTTTACCTCAGGGCTCTATCCGCCGCCAAACATTCAGTGACGTTGCTGGTGGTAAGCACTTCCTCATAGACTTTCAAGTTGACCGGTCGAGATGGATCCCCATTCTTAGTAATTCGCCCGTTATAGATGCCAGGTGGTAGAATTTTTTGCAGGAAGACGTCCTCAGTGGTATCCCAGTCGATGTCCGTCCAAGCAATCTCCATGCTCCAAATTTGACAGGTGAGTTCATGCGAAAAAATTATGCAGCATCTTGAAAATTGTTTACTTTGACAGCTGAAGCTGAAGAGTTTTGTGTCAACTTGTGATGTTTTTAACTGTCTTTTTCTTCTGGATGTACAAAATGAAATACAGCTGCTATCAAGAGTCTTCTGTTATTCATGGCTGGTTTGTTTACTGGGTTTTTGGTTGAGGAACGCGTCGCTTGTCAAAATTTGGTAATTCGATTTC